TCTTTTATATGGCATAAAAACAACAAAGTTAGATGTTCAAGTCTAAGTTCATGATCCAATTTGATTGTTTCAGGTGTTGCAAAGTGGATAGCAGAGATTCCACCAAGATATTATGTGGAACATTGGTTGACAAGATGTTCCATAGTTTGAAGTCTGTTTCTGCAGTTGCAAATAGGGTTAGTGTCTTAGTTCCCATTTGTGGAGAGAGAGGCACATCTGCCACGTGATGTGCGAATGTGGTTCAAAGTGGACAATATTTTTTTGGGCGGGGGCAGGAGGGGCGAGCCACTGGGTTCTTCAGTTGGATCCCAGATGAGATGTTTGTATGGAATGTTGGTATCCTTCCACTTTGCTTGCCATTGATCTTCCAGGGAAAATCCTGATTCTTTGAGCTCTTGCACTGCAAACCAAAAAAGTTTTCTAGATTGGAGTTTGAATCTCAGCTTGTTATTTAGATCTTCATGTATTGACAGATCTTTATTTCCTTGGATACAATTGGACTCCAGAAAAATTCTCTTGTCATGATGAATTTGGGGTCAGTGGATGTGTGCAGTATGGGAAGCTATGGTTGTGGTGGTGTTTTTACTGTACCATGTGATTTACTGTAATTTTACTTTGAATCAGTCTTCACTGCAGATGATGTCAGAAAATTCCTACATCTGAGCCATTCTTTTTAAGTGACAAATCTGAGGATTTGAGGAGTCAGTAGAGGAGGTTTTGGAACACACTGATACATTTTAACAGCAATATGTCATCAGAACCAGATGGTATTCACCCAAAAGTTCTGAAAGAACTCAAATATGAAATTGCAGCTCTCATTGTGATATGTAACCTATTGCTGAAAACAGCCTCTGTACCAGATGACTGGTGGATAGCTAATGTGATGCTGATTTTTAAAAAAGTCTCCAGAGGCAATCCTGGCAATAACAGGCTAGTAAGCTTAACTTCAGTATCAGGCAAATTGGTTGAAACTATAATAAAGAACAAAATTATCATACACATAGATGAACACGGTATGTTGGGGAAAAGTCAACATGGCTTTTGTACAGGGAAATCACGCTTTGTGTTAACAAACATGTGGACATGGGTGATCCAGTGGATATCGTGTACTTGGACTTGCAGAAAGCAAAGTTCCTCACTGAAGGCTTTTAAGCAAAGTAAGGAGTGGTGGGCTAGAGGGAAGTTCCTCTCATGGATCAAGATAGCAAACAAAGGGTAGGAATAAATGGTCAGTTTTCACAGTGTGGAGAGGTAAATAGCAGGGGCCCCTAGAGATCTATACTGGGACCAGTGTTGTTCAGTACATTCATAAATGATCTGGAAAAGGTGGTAAACAGTGAGATGGCAAAGTTTTCAGATGATACAAAATTACACAGGATAGTTAGGTCCAAAGCAGACTGCGAAAAATCACAAAGGGATCTCACAAAATTGGGTGACTGGGCAAGAAAATAGCAGATGAAATTCAATGTTGATAAGTGCAAAGTAATGTACACTGGAAAATATAATCCCAGTCATACATACAAAATGATGAGGTCTAAATTAGCTGTTACAATTCAGGAAAGAGATCTTGGAGTCATTGTAGATAGTTCTCTGAAAACATCCACTCAATGTGAAATAGCAGGCAAAAAGGCTAACAGCAACCATTGGGAAAGGGGTAGATAATTAGACAAAGAACATCATAATGCAACTATATAAATCCATAGTACCCCTACATGTTAAATATTTTGTGCAGTTCTGGTCACCCCATCTCAATAAAGATATATTAGAATTGGAAAATGTCCAGAGAAGGGAAATGAAAATTATTAGGGGTTTGGAACAGCTTCCATATGAGGAGAGATTAAAAAGCTTCCATATGAGGAGAGATTAAAAAGACTGGGACTGTTCAGGTTGGAAAAGTGATGGCTGGCGGTGGGAAGATATGATAGAGGTCTATAAAATCATGAGTGGTGTGGAGAAAGTGAATAAGGAAGTGTTGTTTATTCCTTAACGTAACACACAACCCAGGGGTCACACAATGAAATTTATTGGCATAAACTAACATAAGGAAGTACTTCTTCACACAAAGCACGGTCAACCTGTGGGACTTGTTTCCAGGGCATGCTGTGAAGGCCACAAGAATAATTGGGTTCATAAAAGAACTATACATTAATTGAGGATAGGTCCGCTTCCCACAGCTCCCATTCATCAGGAACGGCAACCGCGGCCCCCGGGAGCTGCAGGGGGCTGTGCCTGCGGATGGTCAATGTCAGCAAAATGTCTTGAGGCCCACAATCAGATTGTGGGCTGCAGGTTGCCCACCACTGATCTAGACCATTCCTGACAGGTGTTTGTCTAACCTGCTCTTAAAAATCTCCACTGATGGAGATTCCACAACTTCCCTAGGCAATTTATTCCCATGCTTAACCACCTTGACAACTAGGAAGTTTTTCCTAATGTCCAACCTAAACCTTGCTGCAATGTAAACCTATTGCTTCTTGTCCTATCCTCCAAGGTTAAGAAGAACAATTTTTCTCCCTCCTCCTTATAACTACTTTTTATGTACTTGATGGACCATTGGTCTGACTCAGCATGGCCATTCTTATGTTCTCATGTTTTTATGTACTGATTCTCCTGGTGGTGGTAAGATGAGAATCAATGAGTGACATGTGGGAGCTATGTGTCTGGATGGATGAGCAGTATCTGTAGTAGATTAAACAAGGACCAGTGAAGAGGTTCATAGGGTTTTATTTTTATCAGCTTCCCATGTTTTTCCTGTTTGTTTTTGAATGAGGTTTACATTAATCTTTATTTCGTCATGTGTCAGTGGTATGTGAGGCTTCGTCTGTTGTCACACCAAGATAATTCAGGGTGGGATTGTGTTTTATCTGTTGGCAACAGAAGTCCACATGCTGTTCTGTCATAGCCTTTGGATTACTTAAATGAAATGCTGACATGAATCTTGGTGGGATTTTCATTTTAGTTTCAGCTTAAGAAATATCCTTCCATGGTTTAAAGTCCTTGTTAGCAAATTGTTCTGACTGCACAATCACACAATCTCATCAGCATAAGCAAATTTCCATGGTGATGTACAAGGAAGGTCACTAATATAGATGTTAACCAAATTGGTGGTGGGACTGATCCCTATGGTAAACCATCATTGAGAGTACATGGTCTGCTGAATCTGGTCAGCAAGAAAAACATGAAACTTATGATTGGTCAGAACTTCAGAGAAGAATTTTATCATTGCATTGTGTCGGATAATTTTGCTGGCTTTCAGAAGGGCCATAGGTGGTAGATATGTCTAAGAGAGCTGCCCCAATCTTGAGTTTTCACTGGAATCCCACCTATGTGCGTATTGTTAAGACTAATACTTGGCCAGTGCATCTTTGTCTTGGCTGGAAACCAACTTGTTCATTCAGTAACGTTCCTGGGCTTGGCAATGGTCATAGCCTCACACCAGATTGTGGGAGAATCCCTGAGGAACGATATAGGAGAACAGTGCTACCCCCATTTCTGTACCTTGGCTACAGGGTTTTAATAAATACTGGAAAGATGCCCTCAAGTCTTGCATCTTTCCCAGCGTTTGTAAGTGAGAAGGTCTTGTTTATCTTCTCAACAGTGAAAGTCAGTGATGAGGGGGGTAGTGAGCTTTTGTAGCTCTCTGTGCACTTTGCATTAATAGACTTGTCCCCTGGTGGTTTTGCGTTCATAAGAAGTGTTCTTGTGATCACATCAGCTAAGACCTCAGGGTTTTACATTTCTCTGGGTTTGCAGACCCAAGAGGATGTAATAATAGCCAAGAATTATGACTACAGTGAGTAACGTCCAAAGATTCAACTGTTTCAATCCCTCTTTCATGGAGGGTTAAATTTGGTGACTCTAGTAGGGATATTGTAGTGTTTATGTCATCAGATGTTTGGTACTCCTGTAATAGTCTTTATGTTTTTGGTTGTGAGCATCAGGTTACAGAAAAGAAACTCTTTAACCAAACATTGTGTTTGCATCATTAGAATGAAGGATGTACTGGCAAATTAGTGAGGAACATACTGTGTCTATAATCGTATATGAAAGCTTAATGTTTTATTTGAGATACATTTCTGATTTCAAATATTTGCCTTGGTGCTGAGGAATTTAGCATATGTAAAAATATCTACAGATATGTGGCCACTACAGAATGGAACTATACGTCAAGATTCTGCTACCAGAAGACATTAAATATCAGCTTATATACTATGGGTGAAATCCTGGCCCTATTAAGTCAAACTGAGTTTTGCCATTGACTTGAGTAGGACCAGAATTTCACACTACTCATTTAGGTAAGTTAACTTTCTGATTGTTTATTAAATTATATCAAGGGCAAGAAATCAGTGTGCTAATTTTCTTTGTGCGTTGAGTTATATATAATTTGAAGGATATGAACAATTTTATGGACTATGAAATGGTAACTGTACTATCGCAATATTGGGGAGCAGGGCACAAAACAACAAAAACATGTCATGTAGAATGCTTAAAAAAATGGGAAAAGAGCTGGAGAGAGAAAAAAAGACCACACCAGATAAGTATACTACATAAATCAAAGGGGTTTATGTCATAACATGAACATGTGCCATTCCTGTTCATATATTGAATTTCAGTAGTTGGTTGCATAAAGAAGTAAAGTGTAATGAAACTGGCAAGCAAAGTATTCCCCAGTCAGCCTTATCTTTGTTCCATTTGTCCTTTAGATACAGCTTTTCTTGCCTTTTTCAATAAAATCCGTCCAGCTTTTTTATTTTGCATTTCTTTGTAACTGAGCTGAGAAGACCAATGATTCAACGCTTTTCTAGCTGAGTTCTTAGCAGCTGCTTTTTAAGAGATCAAAACTTAGAATGCTGCTACATGGTATTAAGGCTTAGCTATTGATGTGCCCCTATTGGGGTTATGTATTTCTAGGGGGGGGGGGGGCAGGCAGAGAGGAAGGGACAGGGTGACCCTTCTGAGCATGCTCATAGACAGTAAACACTACTTTCCTTGTTTCTTAGGATCCTCTTTGCAAGCTCAGTGCTTAACCTGACTGAACTTATTGCCCTTCGGCCTGACCTTGGCAAATTGAAAAAGGTCCTTTACTTCCACGAGAACCAGTTGGCATATCCTGTACAGAAGTGCCAGGAAAGAGATTTCCAATATGGATACAACCAGATTCTTTCATGGTAGGTGTTTCTTATACCATTATGTGTTATTTAATGGCATCTTTTAAGCATTTTTAAACCTGGAGAGTCCTGTGCTACTTAAACAACAACACTGTTACAAACTGAGATACAAATATATACAATCCAAAGGAGGTGCTAAATCAAGTGCTTTGGCAGAAACAAGTAATAAAGTACTTCACATGTAGCCTCATCTCGAGCTATTGTTCAAGTCTACCTGTGTGCTAAAGGACTACCACTCTACACCTGTAAATTTTGCTAATTTTCAATTCATACCCATTCATCGCAAACAAGATGCTGTACCTCAAGTACACTTAGCAGAGAGGCAGTTAATCAGCTCTTACTGAGCTATAGATTTTAATGCATCCAACTGAATTAAAATAGGGCTTTTCCGGGGAATAAACAAAAATTAAAACATAATGCTGCAGTTTTGTTTGTTTGTTTTAAAGGAGTGAGAGCAGTAAACATATCAGATAAATCCTTACATTTCTTTCTTTTGGTATTCAGAAATTGTGCAGTGCTAAAATATCCAGACATTTTAAAGGCTGTTGTCCTTTATTGTTACTTAAAACAAATGTATTTCCTGAATCTAAGTTAATGAAAGAAGTTAATAACAGCACACTGAAAAGCTTTGTGATTAGACACTCTACAAACCGAAGTGAATTGTAAAGCTGAATTGGTTTGAATTGAAATAAATTCATTTGGTTGATCTATCTCACCTATTTGTTATTAGAAGACATATTAGAAGCATGGATTCAATATTTTTAAATACATATAAAATATTTGCATCCTTGTAAAATGAGCCAGTTGATATTCAGATTTCTCAAATGATAATCTTTATATATAGAGAGCATTTTCTAGATCTGTTTCTGTCATTGCATTTGCAAGATGCTTCAGTTATTAAGTAGCAATGCTGTGAAAATGTAGTGAAATGGCTGTACTGTACTTGGAATGCATCCGATGAAGTGAGCTGTAGCTCACAAAAGCTTATGCTCACATGAATTTGTTAGTCTCTAAGGTACCACAAGTACTCCTTTTCTTTGTACTTGGAATGTATTTTGAAAATAGTAGCAGCCATTTTGAAATTTATTGATATAAATATATGGTGTTGGGTGGTGAAGCTGAGAAAGGAAATATCTAAAAAAGATGTATTTTAACTTATTTTAGTATTGTAAATGCTGTAATTTTCTGAGTTTTTATATTACAGGACCTTTCTCTTAGTTAGGAAGAGACATCCAAGAATACTTGTGTCAAGGTTCCTTCCCCACTCTGAACTCTAGGGTTCAGATGTGGGGAACTGAATGAAAGACCCCTTAAACTTATTCTTACCAGCTTAGGTTAAAACTTCCCCAAGGTACAAACTTTTACCTTTTGTCCCTGGACCTTATGCTACCACCACCAAAGTGTCTAACAAAAATATTAGGGGAAGTGCCCATTTGGAAACGTCTCCCCTCCAAAATATCCCCCCAAGCACTACACCCCCTTTCCTGGGGAAGGCTTGATAAAAATCCTCACCAATTTGCATAGGTGAACACAGACCCAAATCCTTGGATCTTAAGTACAATGAAAAAGCAATCAGGTTCTTAAAAGAAGAATTTTAATTAAAGAAAAAGTAAAAGAATCACCTCTGTAAAATCAGGAAGGGAAATACCTTAAACAGTAATCAGATTCAAAACATAGAGAATCCCTCTAGGCAAAACCTTAAGTTACAAAAAGACACTAAACCAGGAATATACATCTCATTCAGCACAACTTATTTTATCAGCCATTTAAACAAAACAGGTTTCAGAGGAACAGCCGTGTTAGTCTGTATTCGCAAAAAGAAAAGGAGTACTTGTGGCACCTTAGAGACTAACCAATTTATTTGAGCATGAGCTTTCGTGAGCTACAGCTCACTTCATCAGATGTATACCGTGGAAACTGCAGCAGACTTTATATACACACAGAGAATATGAAACAATACCTCCTCCCACCCCACTGTCCTGCTGGTAATAGCTTATCTAAAGTGATCAACAGGTGGGCCATTTCCAGCACAAATCCAGGTTTTCTCACCCTCCACCCCCCCCACACAAATTCACTCTCCTGCTGGTGTTAGCCCATCCAAAGTGACAACTCTTTACATAATCAAGTCGGGCTATTTCCTGCATAGATCCAGGTTTTCTCACATCCCCCCCACCCCCATACACACACAAACTCACTCTCCTGCTGGTAATAGCTCATCTAAACTGACCCTCTCCAAGTTTAAATCCAAGTTAAACCAGAACATCGGGGGAGGGGGTAGGAAAAAACAAGAGGAAACAGGCTACCTTGCATAATGACTTAGCCACTCCCAGTCTCTATTTAAGCCTAAATTAATAGTATCCAATTTGCAAATGAATTCCAATTCAGCGGTTTCTCGCTGGAGTCTGGATTTGAAGTTTTTTTGTTTTAAGATAGCGACCTTCATGTCTGTGATTGCGTGACCAGAGAGATTGAAGTGTTCTCCGACTGGTTTATGAATGTTATAATTCTTGACATCTGATTTGTGTCCATTTATTCTTTTACGTAGAGACTGTCCAGTTTGACCAATGTACATAGCAGAGGGGCATTGCTGGCACATGATGGCATATATCACATTGGTGGATGTGCAGGTGAACGAGCCTCTGATAGTGTGGCTGATGTTATTAGGCCCTGTGATGGTGTCCCCTGAATAGATATGTGGGCACAATTGGCAACGGGCTTTGTTGCAAGGATAAGTTCCTGGGTTAGTGGTTCTGTTGTGTGGTATGTGGTTGTTGGTGAGTATTTGCTTCAGGTTGCGGGGCTGTCTGTAGGCAAGGACTGGCCTGTCTCCCAAGACTTGTGAGAGTGTTGGGTCATCCTATGGATGTAGAAGCCCTCTACACCAACATTCCACACAAAGATGGACTACAAGCCATCAAGAACACTATCCCCGATAATGTCACAGCTAACCTGGTGGCTGAACTTTGTGACTTTGTCCTTACCCATAACTATTTCACATTTGGGGACAATGTATACCTTCAGATCAGCGGCACTGCTATGGGTACCCGCAATGGCCCCACAGTATGCCAACATTTTTATGGCGGATTTAGAACAACGCTTCCTCAGCTCTCGTCCCCTAAAGCCCCTACTCTACTTGCGCTATATTGATGACATCTTCATCATCTGGACCCATGGAAAAGAAGCCCTTGAGGAATTCCACCATGATTTCAACAATTTCCATCCCACCACCAACCTCAGCCTGGTCCAGTCCACACAAGAGATCCACTTCCTGGACACTACAGTGCTAATAAACAATGGCCACATAAACACCACCCTATACCGGAAACCTACTGACCCTATTCCTACCTGCATGCCTCCAGCTTTCACCCTGACCACACCACACGATCCATCGTCTACAGCCAAGCTCTGCGATACAACCCATTGCTCCAACCCCTCAGACAGAGACAAACACCTACAAGATCTCTGTCAAGCTTTCTACAACTACAATACACACCTGCAGAAGTAAAGAAACAGATTGATAGAGCCAGAAGAGTTCCCAGAAGTTACCTACTACAGGACAGGCCTAACAAAGAAAATAACAGAACGCCACTACCTCACCTTCAGCCCCCAACTAAAACCCCTCCAACGCATTATTAAGGATCTACAACCTATCCTAAAGGATGACCCAACACTCTCACAAGTCTTGGGAGACAGGCCAGTCCTTGCCTACAGACAGCCCCGCAACCTGAAGCAAATACTCACCAACAACCACATACCACACATCAGAACCACTAACCCAGGAACTTATCCTTGCAACAAAGCCCGTTGCCAATTGTGCCCACATATCTATTCAGGGGACACCATCACAGGGCCTAATAACATCAGCCACACTATCAGAGGCTCGTTCACCTGCACATCCACCAATGTGATATATGCCATCATGTGCCAGCAATGCCCCTCTGCTATGTACATTGGTCAAACTGGACAGTCTCTACGTAAAAGAATAAATGGACACAAATCAGATGTCAAGAATTATAACATTCATAAACCAGTCGGAGAACACTTCAATCTCTCTGGTCACGCAATCACAGACATGAAGGTCGCTATCTTAAAACAAAAAAACTTCAAATCCAGACTCCAGCGAGAAACCGCTGAATTGGAATTCATTTGCAAATTGGATACTATTAATTTAGGCTTAAATAGAGACTGGGAGTGGCTAAGTCATTATGCAAGGTAGCCTGTTTCCTCTTGTTTTTTCCTACCCCCCTCCCCCAGATGTTCTGGTTTAACTTGGATTTAAACTTGGAGAGTGGTCAGTTTAGATGAGCTATTACCAGCAGGAGAGTGAGTTTGTGTGTGTATGGGGGTGGGGGGGATGTGAGAAAACCTGGATCTATGCAGGAAATAGCCCGACTTGATTATGTAATGAGTTGTCACTTTGGATGGGCTAGCACCAGCAGGAGAGTGAATTTGTGTGGGGGGGTGGAGGGTGAGAAAACCTGGATTTGTGCTGGAAATGGCCCACCTGTTGATCACTTTAGATAAGCTATTACCAGCAGGACAGTGGGGTGGGAGGAGGTATTGTTTCATATTCTCTGTGTGTATATAAAGTCTGCTGCAGTTTCCATGGTATACATCTGATGAAGTGAGCTGTAGCTCACGAAAGCTCATGCTCAAATAAATTGGTTAGTCTCTAAGGTGCCACAAGTACTCCTTTTCTTTAAACAAAACAGAATCTAACGCATATCTAACTAGATTGCTTACTAACTCTTTACAGGAGTTCTGACCTGCATTCCTGCTCTGGTCCCAGCAAAAGCATCACACAGACAGAGAGGACCCTTTGTTTCCCCCCGTCTCCAGCTTTGAAAGTATCTTGTCTCCTCATTGATCATTTTGGTCAGGTGCCAGTGAGGTTATCTTAGCTTCTTAACCCTTTACAGGTGAAAGGGTTTTTCCTCTGGCCAGGAGGGATTTAAAGGTGTTTACCCTTTTGTGACAGCTTGCTTCCATGTTTAGCCTAGAGTTGCCTTTGTACATTAGTGTAAATGCATAATGTACATATTTTGAACATTTTTTGGCTCTGCAAATGGACATTTTTAATGGCAAAAGAGAATATATCTTGTTTATATTTTAGCTACATTGTTTCTGCCTATTAGCAGTCACCTGTAAAGGAAAAAAAAATGTTGTGTCTGTCCCCCCCCCCCCCCCCCCCCCACACCCCCCCCCACACACACACACACCATATGATATTAAAGAAGGCCTGAAGTTTTTAATGTTTTAAGGTTTTTTTTTTTTACCTTAGAAATGTCAGGAACGTTAAGTCTTGTCTTCTGTTTTTGTTCAAAGACTTCCTGGGGGACAAGATAACTGGGCTGGGAGCTTTCTCAAGTCTGTTTTGTGGTGTTAATCTTTAGGAAAGAGAGCTTTTCTCCCAAGTGTTTGTCAGGAGTTTGTTACATAGGTGTTGACAAAGTTTAAATAGTATGACTAATATTCCTTCCCTTTTAGTTGCTCAGGTTTCAGTTTCTTGAGATGATAGGATCTCTCCAGTTTGCCAGTCACACTTATAACCTTCAGCAAAAAATGGAGTAGACAAACCTAGTATTTCTAATGTAAAAAGCAAGCAGAGATACAAAATGTGCAGGCCTTTATTATATAATGGGTAAAAGATCAAGCTTTTCTTTTGTATGTCAACTATAAGTCTATTCAAAGAGGTGGGCTGGCTCACTAGTTGTTTTAACTTGAGAAAAACAAATGGTAAAAAGTCATAGGTGGAGAGGAATGGGAGATTTTAAAAAAAAGTTCAACTCTCATGGTCTAGTTAAAAAGGATTATTTCTCTCTCAAATGTTTCCTTGCTTTTCCTGCTGAGTCCTACTGCTTTTGTGAGCATTTTCCATTTTCATTCTTGGCCAGACAGCAGTGTGAGTTGTGAGGATGAATGACAGGTTTTCACTTCAAATATACTTTTCACCAGTCCAGTGACTTATGAATACATGTCCCCAATGTATCTTATGGCCCATAGGTCAGTATTACAATATGACATACTGAGAAAATCTAATAGCCATAAAACATTTGTAACTTTGTTATAATATTACATTTGTGCCAATATAGTTAAGATTGTGTCAGCACTTCCAGAATAAAATTCCCAATTTTTCATTGTTTGATACTTTTGCCTTTTCTCCAGACTGAAAACCTTAGCTGAGAAATCACACATATATAATTTAACAAAATTGCAAAAATATTGGTTCTACTGTTTTTAAGAGGTAATATTGAGGGACAAAATATTTTCTGTATCATGTCCTGTCTTCTGCTAATGTACCAAAATTACGTCTTAATTATTTTTTAAAAATATATAACTGATTGATTAATCTATGATGTTATGACTTTGTATATGTTTATTGTTTTATAAAAATTTCCACGATATCAAATATTTTGATTCAGGGTGACTATGTGTCCATGGTTTAAAATATATAATTATAATTATTTATCTGTGTTCCGGTTAACTGAAATTCTTGGTTAACCAAAGGTGTCTCAGTAGGTACGTGCACTGAGCAATTTTATCTCCTTTTTCCCAGTTTAACTTTTTTAGAAAGTTTTAGATGTCTCTGAAATATTCAGGGGCAAAAAGGGGTTGTGGGGGATTGTACTATAGTTTATTTAATGTATTTTTTTCATGATAAGTGCTAATAGCAGCAAAAGTATTCTTACAATCTAATGAGTAAAAATTGACCCACGTATAAAAGAGAATTTTCTTAAAAGATCAGAATGGCTGTGATTCTTCAAAATAATAATAATAATAATAAACATTTATAATTCAATTTTTAAAAGATGTTTTTTAATAAAAATTGTTAAATAACATTTAATGATGAAACATATGGACAGAAACCAAGAAATTTCAACTAAGGCTGACACTTTCTCTTATTCATCTGATACGATGGAATCCCAACCTTTAATTTGGAATTCTTGCTTTGCCAGTTAGTGTCACAATATTTATCTTACATTAGCCTGGCTTTAAAGTAATTCTGATTTTTCTTAAAGAACATTGTATTAATTCTAGCTATATTTTACAGTTTGGTTGCTGATATTGTGGTGTTCAACTCTGCTTTTAATATGGAGTCATTTCTTACATCTATCGGAAATTTTCTGAAGCTGATTCCTGACCACAGGCCTAAGGATCTGGAAAAAATAATCAGACCAAAGTGCCAAGTTCTTTACTTTCCAGTCAGGTTTCCTGATGTGAGCAGGTCAGTACATTTGACTCCATTCTCCATATTATGTCATAACTTGTTTCAAATCTTTCTAAACCGATAGCCCTTGCTGCTAAATTTTAACTGATTAGTTCAAGCATTGTTAATTAGGGAATTTGGTTATATGTTACTGTGCTGCAAAATCCATTCATTTACAAAAGTATTTCAATAACCTAATGGTACGCACATTAGGACCTGATACTGCACCAATGAAATCAATAGGAGATTTGCCAAGCAGGTCAATAGTCAGTACGTCTCACAGAAGAATAGTTTGATGTTAAGGAGGAACTACTTATTTTTGGCAAAGATAGAAGACATTGTTTGACTAGATAATTCACCAATGGTAATTTATTAGGTTGTTTTATTTGGAAAAGCTATCTACTCTCTTTATTCAGACCTATATAAGTGTTTTCTTAGGTATGCTGTAGTGAGATTTTTTCCCCTACCTCTGTGTTTAATTGCTTACAGGTAGGTGAAAATAACTTGATAATTTTGGCGTTAACTGCAGTTATAGTAGCTCTTCACTCTACCTTAGTTAGTACAAAGGACATTTTTTATTACCCTTACTGCAGAACCCATCTTGAAATTAGCAAAGGGTTGTGTTATGTGGCTCAAAGGGAACATTCTGAAGATTCTTTTCACTTCTGATTAAACCTAACACACTTGTTTTTTTTCTATCACAAGGAACTCTCCTCCTCAACAGGAGCTTTGCTTCAATGGGGCTTACACTAACTAGAGATAATCAGTTTGCAAAACTGTACTATGTTCCTAAAAATAACATGAAGGGGGTTCTGCATTTTTGCTGATAAGGATGGGAAACAGTGTAATGAAACTTAAATGGCTCTGCAGGAGTCTGGGGTTTGATTTTATTTCAAGTTTCATTCTGTTTAAATATTCACACCTTAAACCTTCAACATGGACCAGCTATCACATTACAAATAATTTCAAAGGATTTGTCTATTTGTGGAAGGTTTCTCTAAGGAAGAGTCATTTAACACTAAGACTAGGTTAGCAAATTTTGTTGACATGTATAGATTTGTTTTAAGACTTAGAAAGGATAGCAGGAATCTAAAGCACTACACCAAGATCTGTAAACATGGATGCCTAAAGTTAAGCCTTTGAACCCAAATTTAGGCATTTACGTCCCTGTGGCCTGATTTTCTGGAGTGCCAGTGAGAGCTGTGGGTGCTTAGCAACTTTGAAAATTAGGGCACTTTCAGTGGGATTCCTGTTCCTAAATCCTTCAAGTACTTTTTAAAATCCCACTATGAGTGCCTGACCTTGGGTATGCAGGCATGATAAATATATTGTCACAGACTACATTACATTTTAATGTACATTATTTTTAATTAATAATTTTAATTTTTATTAAGTTTTGTCTTTCTAAGGAATGACAGCTTTCTTATATTACAGATGTTACATTTGAAATTTAACCTAAAGGCCAGAATTTCAGTAATGTCTGTAAATATTATTATGCATGTGCACATAACTTTATGCACACACAATTCGTGGTTTGTTGACATGCTTATTAGAAAAACACATTTTTAAAAATCCATTCCATTTTTATATGAATAGGACCTGCTGATATATATTTTAATTTTCATTTAAATACTGTATTTAGAAATGAGTTATAAATATGCAGTCTGGACAAAAACCAATATCATCATAAAAGACAGGAGCATTAAAAAAAACTTTCCCATAACTTTGAATAAAGTTCTTGGGTTTTGGGGCTTTATCTGCATCCAGTATTTGCCATTTCTTTACAAGACATTTATGTTTTAAATAATGTTGAATGCACCCATGGCAACTGAATACAGTTTATTAATTTAGACTGTATTATTACAGTGAAATCTAGATGAATGGAGATTGAAGAGAAAAAGGTTAAGAAATATTGTGGCCAAGCTAAGATTCATAAAGCAAGCTCTTAGCCCAGAGTGTTTTTTGTGTTATTTTCAAATGGTAATTTGCTTTATCCAGACCAAACTCATATAGTGTAAGTAAGTGATTATTTGCATGACTGACAATCATTTGAATGCCTGCAGTCTTTTTAAAATGCATAATATTGCCAAGATGTTGGAAAAATATTTAGAAATTCTGATGGCAAAATTACCAAGGTGATTTTATTCCTTACTTCAACGTGTGTGTGTGTGTGTGAGTGTGAGTGAGGGAGAGAGAGAGATGCAATTTTTATTTGGTTATGTGGCAGAGATGTTCTGAAAAAAAAAAAAAGTCTTGTTAGCAATATGATTGTGATATGTAAAAAAGAGTCTTTATTTTAAGTTAATATTGTGATTATAGGACAAAATAAAAATACATTAGTATACCATATTTGACCCTCAAACAGGGCCATGTGATTGCAGAATATAAAATTTTACTTGAGCAAATCCCATTATGTTTTTATATGGTTATTAACCAAAGGTGCATGCACACCCTAAAAGAGAGAAACTACTACTCCAAATAGACATATTTAGACATGAAATGAAGGTATAGTCAAGAATGACTGATGCTTTCTGATGCAGCAGAAAATGTAACAGAAAATACTTTGATTGATACAGAAACAAAAGTTGAATGGTGTGAAATACTCCATTTTATATATGCAAAATATATGTTTAAAATAAGTTTTAAATTACCTTATTCTGCATTTAAGAATTGCTTTATCAACAAGCACAGCATCTTTAACAGTTATTTGAATTTTTTTAAAGATATTTGGTATAAGTGCTCATCTTTCTTCATTATTGATAGGATCAGGGATGAACTTAGGTTTGACAGGACTCTGCAAAGTAAGATATACAAAGCCACAGGTTCTTCTTCGAGTGCTTGCTCATATCAATTCCAATTAGGTGTGTGGGCGCTGCGTGCACAATCGTCAGAAGATTTTTACCCCAGCAACACTCGGTGGGTTGGCTGAGGCGCCCCCTAGAGTGGCGCCTTCATGGCGCTGGATATATGCCCCAGCCGACCCAGCGCCCCCTCAGTTCCTTCTTACCGCCCGTGACGGTTGTTGGAACTGTGGAGTGCAGCGTAGCTGATCTCCACTCTCCCTAGCTTTCTCTCTTAGTACCTGTTAATAGTTGTAATTAGTTATGAATAGTTGTTTATAGTTGTTAGTAGTTGTTAATAGTTAGTGTAGTTAGATTAGTGTACTTAGTAGGGTGGAGTGGGGTCTTCTCCCCCATCCCGGTACCAGGGCCCATGCCGGGGTCTCCGGGCTTCAAACCCTGCTCGGCTTGCCTGAAGCCGATGCCAACAGGAGACCGCCACGACTCTTGCCTAAGGTGTCTGGGGGAATCCCACCAAGTGGACAAGTGCTGCATTTGCAAAGCCTTCAAGCTGAGCACCAAAAAGGAGCTGGACTTTAGACTCAAGTAGCTCTTTATGGAGGCGGCACTTAGCCCGGTCCCTTCCTCCGCGCACTGGCACTCGGCATCGTCTTTGGTGCGGAGTGTCCCTGCGGCACCGACTGGTCCGGCACCGCATTTGGACTCTGCTAAAGACTCCCGGCGTCAGGCCCCCTGGCACCTCCACAACTGCAGCACCGGTCCCTGTCTCCGGGCCAGAAGAAGAAGCAGCCGCCGACTGCTTCTTCTTTGTCGGTTCGACAGCCACCGACACTTCCCGCACTCAGCCAGAGCCGCGTCCATTGCTGGAGCGCACAGGACAAGTAACAGCTCCTGCACCGTCGACTCCAGCGCCGCAAGGGCCATCGAGTCCGGTGCATGTTAGCTCCCCAGTACACACCGCAGTCGAGCTAAGGCTGCCCTCCACGCTGGAGACCTTCTCTACAGCGCGGGACTTGATCGCGCTCACAGAGCCGACTCCCCTGCAGCCAGCGGCACCGCCGGTGCGGGCGGTGCCGTCGAAGGGAAAACCGTCCCTGATACGACTGCCATCGCCGAGTGAAGCAGGGCAGCACCGGTCCCAGTCCCGATCTTGGTCCCGGCACCTTTCATGGCATCGCTCACAGTCCCGGCACCGATCCCGTTCTCAGTGCTGGTAGTACTCGCGACGCCGCTCCGGCTCGCGAAGATCCAAATTGCAGTACGGCCAATACCGATTGGACTTTCGGCACCGCTCCTGGTACCGGTCAGAGCAGCACTCGATCCAGAGCCGATTCCGGTGCCGGTCTCGTCGAAGGTCACCGTCGAGATCCAGATCAGGCTACCGGTACCGATACAACTGCAGGCACTGATCGATATCTTGGGACTGTTCTACATCTCGCCACTGGTCCCCGGCACCGTACAGCACAAGGGGACTCTGCACCAACACATTCGGCACCGCCTTGTCCGTCTCGCTCCGCCTCCATGTCGTCATGCTCACAAGGTGGCCACCACGCCCAGGACCAGAGCGAGGACGGTGCAGGACAGTGGCTGAATGAAGGCAAGGACCTGGGCCAAGGACCTCCACAGTGGTCTTTTTTGAACCCCTGCACATACCATCAGGCCTAAAGGGTTCCTTCAGGGGCTTTCCGTTCCACCCCTTCAGGGCCCCGAGTACCGGAGGCCACTGTGTCTCCCTGCCCCTGCCCTCCCCCGGGGGTTCTGAGGGGACTGCTCCAGTGCCAACACAGGCCCACGCCCCTAGCGTGGTGGACCTTGGGCAACAAGTTCCTCCACATGAGGACCCCATCCAGTTTCCCTTAGTCCCAGGGGTATCTTCCTCGTCCTCGCCTGATGAGGCAGAGGAAGAGACTACGGTTTTGGTCCCTCCTCCTATGGACCTCCGTGCCCTCCAGGAGTTGCTCCACAGGGTGGCGCACAATATGAACCTCCAGGTAGAGGAGATGGTGGAGGTAGAGGACCCGGTGGTCAACATTCTGTCCATGGAGGCACCATCCAGGGTGGCCCTCCCAGTCATATGGATTATACAGGCCAATGCCTAGACAATCTGGCAATCGCCAGCCTCTATTCCACCTACGACCAAGGGGGTGGAAAGGAAGTACTTTGTCCCCTCAAAGGAGTATGAGTACCTCTACACACACCCCCAACCGTGTTCCCTTG